ACTCACACACACTCACACACACACACACACACACACACACTTGACTGTTTCACACATAATAAAACAAATTTGAAAGAAAAAAAAAAAATAATAATAATAATAATAATAAACTTTGTTGTTGTTGTGTTGTTAGCCATGTTTCACATGTCTCAACAGGGGGGATGGTAGGACAGGTTCATAAATATTATACAACTTATGGATTCAATAATTACTCAAAAAAACTTTTGTAGAGCATGTTTAATTTGTGCTAAACATAATTCACAAGGAAATTTGAGACCAAAAAGAGGACAATTTCCACAGGCCCAATATCCATTTGAAATAATCCATATGGATTATATTGAGCTCAATCAAAGTGAAGGAAAGAAATATTGTTTAGTAATAATTGATGCATTTTCCAAATGGATAGAATTATTTCCCACTAGAAATCCCGACGCTCTGACTGTGGCTAAAGCACTGTGTAAAGACATTATACCAAGATTTGGTTTACCAGAGAAAGTCTATACTGATAATGGAACTCATTTTGTAAAGAGTTTGATATCTCATATAGGTAAACTATTCCACATTGATTTGAAAAATCACTGCGCATACCATCCTCAGAGCACTGGGCTAGTAGAAAGAATGAATGGTACAATAAAAAACAGACTGAAAAAATGTATGGAAGAAACTAAAAGACCATGGACCCAGTGTTTAGATTTAGTCAAACTGTATATAAACATTACTAGTACCACAGGCCTAACCCCATACCAAATAATATTTAGAAGAACGTACAAAATACCTCAATTTAGGAATGAATGGGAAATTAATGAAGAAGCTAACTTAGCAGACTATATGAGGAAAATATTAGAAAAACAAAGCAAAAATCCGTAAACCTTTTAAAATGACTAAAACTAGATACAAGAAACTGGCTAATTATGGTGAAATTTCCAGAACCGAACAAAAAGATGATGAAAAACTTGAGGACTTCAGAATTAGAATGACCAAAGTGTTTAAAACACACAGTGGATTAGAAGAAAGTGATGATACGCAGGGTCCGTATCAACAACAGCTCAAAAACGCCTTACATGCAGGAGGAAAAACTATAGCAGAAAGCAGAAAAACTGTGATTTTGTCTGCTCCGAAACTATTACTGAAAAACAACTTGTATCATTTTTAGGTCTTACAAATTATTGCAGACAGTGGATTCCAAACTACGCTGAAATTATTAACCCACTGCATAAATTAATTTATGATGAGCAAATAACCATGACAACTCCTTTAAAATGGACAGCAGAGGCCGATGAGGCCTTTTGTGTTTTGAAACAGACTTTGGTATCTAGTACAGCTTTAGCTTTACCCGACTACAGTAAAGACTTTATCCAAATGGTAGATTGTAGAGGACAGTTTATGACATCCGTTTTGACTCAGAAACACGGGGACGGCCTTAAACCCATAGCCTACTTTTCATCAAAACTAGACAGTGTAGCTTGTGCTTTACCGCACTGCGTGCGAGCGGTCATAGCAGCATCCATGGCAGTAGAGTCAAGCGCAGGAACTGTGTTATTCCACCCGCTGATTCTGAAAGTTCTGCATGTGGTTTCAGCACTACTCCTGCAAACTAATAAATGATGGCTTTTCTAGGATTGTGTAACGGCTACAGGGCTTGATTACTGGATTACACCCTCCTAGCAAAGCCACTTCAAGACTTGATTTTTCCTGAACCTAGGGAAATAAATCACAAAGTAACTTGAACAGAAGAGGCAAATTTGGCATTTAAAAAAATAAAATAAAAATGAGCGGCCTTGAGTCATCAGAACGTGTGGAGACTGTTGGTTTTGATGCCCACTCTCTGCCCGTTCTCCTCATGAGTAAAACTGAATTAATCTCTTGTCTTTCTTCTTGTTTATAATGTTTAGATAAACCTAACAGTGTGTGTGTGTGTGTGTGTGTGTGTGTGTGTGTGTTATTTGTCATTCAAACATGCGAGAGAAACACATGACAGAACGAAATGTGCTGCCCAAGGCCCAGTGATCCAGAAAGAGATAAAAAAAAAAAAAAAAAACAATAATAAATAAGCAATGTTAAAAAATAAATACATTTAAAACAACAACATTTATCAGTCCAGTGAACAAGTAGTAAAACGTGGCAAGACAGAGAGAGAAACAACCCAAGCAGGAAGTGAGTGTGAACTGTTCACAAGTCTGACAGCTTCAGGAAAGAAGCTGAACTTCAACTGAGAAGTTCTAGCTTTAATGTTCCTCAGTCTCCTCCCAGAGGCAGAGGAACAAACAGGTGGTGGAGGGTGTGAGGCTCCACCATGATCCTGGACGTCCGTCTTCTACAACGCTCCTCATAAATGTCACTGATGGGTGTAAAGTCACATCCAGTGATCTTCTCTGCTGCTCTGACCTCACGCTGTAGATCTGTCCTGTCCTGGGCTGAGCAGTGGCCGTACCACACTGTGATGGACTGAGTCAACACACTTTCCACTCCACATCCATAAAAAGACCTGAGAGCAGAAAGGTCTAGTCCAGCAGCCTCGAGTCTCCTCAAAAAATACAGACGCTGGTGGACCTTCTTAACAACACTCGCTGCATTAGTGGACCAAGTGAGTCTGTCGCTGATGTGCTGACCCAGGTATTTCCAGCCAGACGCCCTTTCAACTTCTGTGTCCATGATGTAGAGACGCGACAGTGAACAGCTGCTCCTCCTAAAATCCACTATTCATTCTTTTGTTTTTGAAAGGTTCAGACAGAAGTTGTTCTGCACCAGGTCACCAACAGCTGTTGGGAAACATGTGAGCTGATCCCCTCACCTGCCCTCACCTGCCCTCACCTGCCCTCACCTGTCCTCACCTGTCCTCACCTGTCCTCACCTGTCCTCACCTGCCCTCACCTGTCCTCACCTGTCCTCACCTGCCCTCACCTGTCCTCACCTGTCCTCACCTGCCCTCACCTGCCCTCACCTGTCCTCACCTGTCCTGTCACCTGCCCTCACCTGTCCCTCCTCACCTGTCCTCACCTGTCCCTCACCTGTCCTCACCTGCCCTCACCTGCCCTCACCTGTCCTCACCTGCCCTCACCTGCCCTCACCTGTCCTCACCTGTCCTCACCTGCCTCACCTGTCCTCACCTGTCCTCACCTGTCCTCACCTGTCCTGTCTCTGTGCTCACCTGTCGGTCCTGCCTCGGCTCCAGTGGTGAAAGAAGAACTCAGTTTTGTTATTTAAGTAAAAGTACAGATACTGGAGCAAAGAATACTCAAGTAAAAGTAAAAGTATCACATGAAAAATCTACTTCAGTAAAAGTATTAAAGTACCTGTATTAAAAAGTACTTAAAGAGTAAAAAGTACAAGTATTTGACACAGACTTTGAGATGTAATAAAGCTTCAGATGTGGTGATTCTGATACAGATTTGTGCTGAATTTTGTTCACTTGTTTTTTGCAGCTCTTTTTATTTGTATATTTGTGTTGCTCAAAGTTTGAATGTGTTAAAATAAACCCTCAGACTTTTCAGCAGCTCAAGAACTACAAACAAAAATACTTTTACTTTTCAGTCCTGTTCAGAAATGTAGTGTGTGTGATTATTTGATGATTCAGACTCAGACTTGAACAGCTCCAGTCCTGACTGGGCCTTAGTGAAGAAGTCAGAGGCCACATGTCGACGTGACAACAGCTGTGAACTCTCACACTCAGGTATTAAAGAGCCAATTATCAAAGACAAGAACTGCACATTTGACATGAGGAAAGTGAGACCTAAAGATGTGACAAAACTACTGCCGTCTGTTGATCATGGAAAACCATCTGGCATTGACAACTTCGACGGAAAACTACTGTGAATATTTGTGAATTACACTGTAACCCCCATTTGTCCCACGTTCACTCTCAGTCTTCAGTGTCATGTGTTTCCTAAAACACGGAGAGAAGCTCAAGTTCTACCACTCCCCAAGAATCCTAGAGCTTCCTTTACAGGACCTAACAGCCGACCCATCAGTCTGTCACCTGTTCTTAGCAAAATAGTATTTGAGCAGATACGACGCTCTTTCTGTGTCACAGTTCTGCCTTTTTGTTTACTTGTTTTCCCCAGTCCAGTTCCATTTCTCAGTCTGTTCCGGTCCTCCTTTTGCCACCTCCCTCCTTTCCCTACAGCTGCCGCTCATTCTGTAATCAGCCCAGGCCCAGTCTATATATACTCCCCCTGCTCCCTCAGTCTTTGCCAGACTCAAGCTCCTGAAAACCTGAAATCTGAAAACTCTGTGTTCCCTCAATCTGTTCTGTTTGTGACCTCTGCAATTCTGTGTTTGTCCCTGTTTGTTGTCCCTGTTCCTGAGTTTACTCC